TGACGTGGTATTACAAAATTTTCCTAAATTCTCTTGTCTCAGAACTTCTTTCGAAATTCATCTATCCAAACATTCTACGAGACGTACGTAAGTATCGTAGCTCAAGTTTATTGTTTTAATTTTTCTTGTCTAAAATTTCATCCAAAATTATTCGTCCGAAAATCTTTTAAACTTGCATCGTGGCCCAAGCATTTTTGTCTCAAAAATTTTTCGTCCAAAGATTTCAACAGGTCATTTAACGAGGTAAATCCTTTTTTATTACATTTTCAAGTTTTATGCATTCAAGTAAAGAATGAAATTGTTCACCATTGCATCCAATTGCCGAAATTTCTTTCAAAATCCTAGGATGCTAGACCCATTGTTTAGATTACATCTATAAAGTACCAGGTAGCAAGTTTTAGAGTAAATGAATTGGATCTTATGCATTATTTTACGCGATCAATCCTGTTGATTTCACTGCAGTTTGCATGAAAAGCTCCTCCGTGTTTTATGAAACCAAAGATAATACAGATTACTTTTCAGCAAAAGGCAGATGTGTGACTGTATCACACTTTGATATCTTCTCAGCAGCAAAATCACACTGTTTCTCACTCTTTGGTTCAGATGCTTGCAACATGTCAATGAATGTGATAGCAGCTGTTGCTTTTGAACATCCGTGCTTTTCATGATATCTTTTTATAGAAGTGCTACCGTCAGCTGTTGCCTTTGCCTGCGTGCAGACACTAAGACCCCGTTTACACTGTGCCGGATAAATTTTATCCGCATCAAAATTAGTTCAGATAGGGCTCCCGTTTACACTAGACCCACGCTATCCGCACGAATTTGAGAGTGGCTATCCGGACAAAATTAGTTCACTTAGGAAAGTGGATTAAATTAGTTCAGATAGCAATGTGGTACAGTGTAAACGGTTTTATCCGGATAAATTTTATCCACATCCGCTGCGAGGCTGATTTTGATTTACAGCGAGGCTCTTTCAATAAAGAGAAGAAGGTGGCGCGAGGTGGCGCCAAATCTCATTTCTCGTAAACAGAATCGTGTTGCTTTGTTTATTTTATCTGGACTTTCAGAATTGGGATATTCATCACGATTGACTCCAGAATCTTAATCATATTTTGTTTTCACCGTCTCCCAATCAAGACCTTTTGCCACCTTTGCTGCCTTATAGTCGATAACTACTTGTATCAAAAGTGATGTCTCTTCGTCAGTCCACGTGAGATTGGCGTCCTTTTCAGCTTTCCCTACTTTGTTTGCCATTTCTGTGACGTGTTATTTCAAACAAATAATTATTTAAACTATATTGGCCTAATGTGCTTTGACAATTTTCTCGGACTTTGTCTGAACGCGAATGATTCAGGTCACGTGACTGTAGTTATCCGGCACAGTGTAAATGGGAGGGCAAAGTGGACAAAATTTGTGCGGCACAGTGTAAACGCAAATTAATCCGAACAGATTTTATGCCGATAAAATTTATCCGGAACAGTGTAAACGGGGTCTAAGCCACCCAAAGGAGTGTAAGAGTCTGCTCACAGGCTACTGTTGGCTTGTTTCCTTTGGAAAGGCGACCTCTGAATCATTTTATAAGCATCTTGCAAAACATTCAGGGGCGGTCTGGTATTATAAATGCAGAGTGGCGCTCAGACCTTGAGGGCCAGGTTTAAGGATGACCACACCCACTGACGGGACAAATCGCATGTTATCCGTTATTTGATATACTGGTAGAGTTTAAGATGCAGTTTTGTGCTTCACACAAACGTTAACCGAGATAATCAGATTTTTTAACAGCATTCTTGATTTATTCTTATTACCAGGAATGTAGAGCAGCGTAGGAGTAATACTCTCAACTTTGAGAGGTGTTGCGGAAAAGCCAGATCTTACTACAGAGAAACATGGTTTTTGACAAAAATATGCAAAATATTCGAAGGCATAATCAATGATCGACTGATATGATTAAGTGACAAAGACATTTCATGGAGAAAACTTTGTGAATTACGTCAAAAAAGATCTGTAAGTTGGAATCGCTTGCAGACAAACATTTTTTCCTGGAACATGTATCGAAATTCTAATGTAAGCGCGAAAAGCTGTAAACTATATGGATTTAGAAAGTATTTTACATGGCTATTTTGAGAACACTTAATTCGTAAAATGCTGAACAGCAACCAGTTCAAATTCTCGTGTGTTGTATTACACGTAAGCATACCGGGTAGAAAATCAAGACTCTATTAATATACTAGATTGATTGCGGTACAATATGATGCTATAATAACGATCAATGTTTTAGGCTCATTATTTTAAAAAAAATTTTCCTGGTACAATTTACTTACATTGATCGTTATTATAGGTGATTAAAACGTTAAGATTAACACTCTAAAAATTGGCTCAAATTCTAGATTTGAGTCAGGGATCAGCAAAACCTTTTTTCAGTATTTAACAGGGAAGATAAAGGGGAAAGTTTTTAGTCTGACATTAGCTGCGCTCATTTTTAAGAGAACCAATGATTTTTAGCTAAGGATTACTCAAATGTTTTTCAAAAATCTGAGATTAAATCCTTGTTCTTAAATTAATAGGGTGTAAGCAGTGAAATTGCTAGCTTTTTCGCTCTAGGGAGGTGTTTAGGGCTCATTTGAAAAAACAAAGTGAGTAAAACACCCTTTACTCGCCGAAAAGTTTGAAAATTTACCTAAAAAGCACCCATACATGGCTAAGAATCCTCTTTTGAAGTTAAATGCTGTTCAAAATTGCGTTTTACAGTAGCTCAGCCTCAGCTTGTTTTCAATTTGTTCTCAACTTTTGGCCAACTTTGAGGCTCGTAGTCTTATAAAAGTATTCTTATAAAAAAGAGTGTTAACACAATTCTGCCGACTTTTGCTATGCCCCCCCCCCCCGGTTACACTTCCTCAAAGAAGCTATCAAATTTGCATTGACATTTTAGAATATTTGAGTGATTTTCAGTTGATTGTGGAACTTTGTAGATATGTTTGGTGAAAGAAAAATGAAGTTTATTAGAAACATTAGTATCCAAAATCTTATTCTGGAATTTTTTGTTGAAAAGTCTCATATTTTTTAATTTTTAAAGCAATGGGCCCGGAAAGAGATCGCCACTTTGCCATCCAGACACGACTGTGTCTGAAAACATTTCTTAGTGACTGTTATTAACTCAAATAAAAGACATCAATAGTCTCTCCCACTGAAAATAGAAATTGCAGCCTGCCCCATAACATCAGTTTTGATTTAAAACGTTCATCCACTTCCTGACCTGATTTTTATGCAGTTACTCCGGATTAACCCAAAGGACAACTAGGCTATGGCCCAGGACCCCGCAGATTTTAGAGCCCCGCCCAACAAAGTAAATTATTTTACACATACACTCGTTTTTTTATAAGAACCAGTAAATTTTAGTTCAGGCTGATTGTTCTTAATTTTTCCGAAAGTCTGAGGCTGGATTGTTCTTAATTTGTTCTTAAATTTATAGGGTATAAGCAGTGCGATTTCTAGCTTTTCGTTCTGGGGAGGTGTTCAGGCCTCTTTTGCCAACAAAGTGCGTAGATTTACAAATTTCACAGTGTTTGCATAACTAAATTGTTTCAAACATTGTTCTTGACATTTTTTTTCTTGATCATATGAGCTAAAAGAACATGTCGAAATGTTACTCAATGTGCAAACCAATTGAAGCTGTTGCATACGTTCTGCAATATTGCAACAAGAGTCCAAAAATGGCTCTTGGAAAGCTTAAAACAGCATAGCACTGCCAGATCTCGTTAAAAAATCTCCTTTCCAGACTAATAACACCTTACTTTACAATTAAAACAAAAAAAATCATGTCAACTTTATCCTTTTTTCGCTTTATCTTTCTCTTAGTTATATTTTCTGTATCTTCATTGTGTCTTTTAATTGTTCTTTAATTCTAATGATTCAAATACAAATAAACTGTGGTACAACCTTATATTGTAAAATCATTCATACAAAACATTATGGCCCAAACATTTAAAGGCACTGATCAGTGTGTTACACACTTTAGTGTCTAAAAGGCGCTCAATATCATACAAAATATCACAAAAAGTTGCAAATATAACATAAATTTTATCTTCTGGTAATTCTTGTTAATATTTTTACAGAGATTAACTGTGAGCATCCTTTTAACTGATGTTATGGAATCAATAAGATTCAAATTTCATGAATTTTAGAACCTGGACCAACTTACAGTGGCCATATTGGGGAAGGTCTATACTCATTTGCCAAAAAAAAACTCAGCCCGTCTTTTACTCATTTGGAAAAACACAACCAATCTTTAACAGACCTAGCTGACTTTGCAAATTTATAAGTTTTTAGTGAAGTTCTTTTGGGTTCTTTGGATTCTGAAATTAAATTTTTATGACGTCATCATGTTGCGACAAAATAGGGCCCTTCGGAGCTTTAATCCGGCCCTGTGCACATTAGAAACTTCATGTCGCGCTAATTAGAACAAAACATATCAACGGCAGAATGCTCCAGCGTATCGCTGATTTCTTTAAATACTTTGTTTCACTACATTCATTGCATTTCTTTCGTTGATCCACCTTTTACTTCTTCAGGCGAATATTTAGTTCTCGAACAAGCCTTCAGTGTGATCAGGTATGGTCAGGGCCGTCGCAAGCTATCTACCCTGGGTACCAGAGCCACAGCATTTCGAGCGAGGAAATAGAAGGTAGGAGCGGGGGACCTTCCAGAAGTTGCAAGATCATGCTGCTAGAATCGTTACAAATAGCAGCCATGAAATTTCGGCAGAAAAAGACCAAAAAGTTCTACCTTATCTGGTCAAATCTTTTCTGAAAATTTGGTGCAACCCGCCCACTACTAAAAATTCCGCCACATCATTGACTTCATCGTTTCAATATACCATGTGTACTTTCTTCTAATACTCAATGAATGATTTATCCATGCATTATTAATCATTCAAGACTCCTATAAATTTCTGTTCCGACAATATGCTCTAAGAAGCACAAAGACGCAAAGAAAAGTCGAACATGAGTGTGGCGTATCCCTGTAATGAAGCGATCAGTGCAAACTTTGGTGTATTTTTGGCATTGGCTGTTCTGCCTTTTCACATTCTGCTTCTGTTTACACTGGCAAAAGATACATTGTTCAGTTTACCACGTCATAAGATTTTGTTTAGCCTGTCGTTGTCTCACGTACTACAAATTGGTATCTCCAACATCATTTTCCTGGTGATAAAAGCATTTTCCATGAAATCACACGAGACACAATGCATAGCGATGCGAAGATGCATACAATTCATTGCCCCTCTAAACTTAGTCGTGACGAGCTTAAACCTGATTGCTTTGTCAGTTGAACGGTATGTCGCCTGTGTTCATGGTCTTCGATTTCATCAAATTGTGACCAATGGACGAGTTACCGCTGCTTTGGCTCTGATATGGAGTCTTGGATTCATACTTGCAGCATTTAACTTCGCGATTATCAGACCGGCGCCAACGATCGAGGGGCAAGCATTCCTTAGTGAGACCCCGCTTTTACGAGTAATAGCTTTCGTTGTTGAGATTCCTACTTGTTTAACGCTAATCGTGATACAAGCCAAACTCTTGGCAGTCAGCAGAAAAAAGCTGTTGGTGGTTCAGCCAGGAGTTTCGACTAGTAGCCAAGCAGAGCAAAGAGGCCTCTGGAAAAGGCAGTTGAAGATTGCATTTGTTGCTGGCATGGTGGTTGTTACTTATTTAGTTTGCACCTTTCCGGGAGCATTGATAGCTCTCCAGACTGTTATTACTTACGGTACGCTGCCTGTCGATAAGTACCACTTCACTTTAGTGTTGTGGATGGCAAATGCTGTTACAGATCCATTTATCTACGGTTTCGGAATGAGAGATACTCGGCTAGCTCTCATCAAGCGGGCAAAGAGAATATTTTCCGCGCTGTTTTGTTGTCTACATTCATCGTGATCTATGAGTAAACACCTACATTAATTGAATGTGGACAGTAACTGAGGCGAAAATCCTTCTTTTAAATACGCCATTAATGCATTCGTTATAGTAACCAGTGTATGTTTAACCTATTTTATACAAATTCATGAAATTCCTACTGCATTTCTAATAAATATGTTCTTCAACTGCTGATGATTCTTTCTACCGATAAATAACGCACGTTACATTTACTTTACATCTCCAACGGATTGTCCTATGATGTATCCACATTTTTGTTTACAGATAGTACCATTTCCGTCGCGTGACCAAGGCTTCAAACTGAAGGGGGCAAAAAGTCTTGAAAGGGGAAAGGAAGCGGGCACTGACAGAGGTCCTTGAAAACTTGAAATCTCCTATTAAACTCCCATTTCGTTAAAAACTTTGCGAAACCTTTTTAGCCGCAACACCTCTTCCCTCCTCCATCAGCAATGCTTGCCCCCATAGTTGTGACCATATGCTTTGGAGAGGCTGTTATTAAAGTAAGAAAAGTGCTGCGGGCTGGGTGCCGTCTTGGGGGTTTGGTGGGTGATGCTTTGCTCTTGCAGCGGCGGGATTCGGATTCCGCTTGCTGGGATCCCTGGATGGGGCCTGGTGTGCGGTGTTCTGTGGGTTGTTGGTGGCTCCCTGGATGGGGCCTGGTGTGCGGTGTTCTGTGGGTTGGTGGTGGCTCTATGGCTGGGGGTGGCTTTGCTCTGCATGGTTTTTTTTCGTTATACCTTAATGTAGCGTAGTGTTTATTGGTATGGCGTGGTGTAATGTTATATTGCGTTCTTTTATTAGTTGCTTTAGAGATTATTGTTAAAATTCATTTTAAGAGCCATTCATAGTGATGACTAGCTGACCATGTGTCTTTCCCCGCTATGATTGGCTCAGATTATTGTATTGTAGTTTATTTTGATATTATATATATATAATATTTAACCCTGGTCGAGTTTCTGCTTAGGTTAAGATTAAATCGATGTCTAAGATTACGTCTTTAAGTTCTTATGTAAAAGTTTTGTCCTAGAATAACCCTAATTGTAAACGAATTGAATAACCATTAATGCAGAATAGAAACTGACGCTCATTATTCTATTGTCATGCCTTCACTCTTTGCAAACTACACTCTTTTTTATAAGAAACTGGCTATTAGAAACGAGTACTGAACAGTCAGAAAAAATTAAGAAACTTCACCCCAAAGCAATATCTATAGTTTAGAAAAATATCTTAAAAGTCACAGAAAATTGGTACTCCCTAACGTCTTACGTCTTTTTGTAGTAAGTCAACATTGTTCAAATAGGGGAGGGGGAGGGGATAGCTGAATTTTCCCTTTGAAAACTGACTTGGTTTACAGTAATACATCGTATGTTTGCAACTTTCAAAATTACACTTAACCACACTTCATTGCAAATGTATGCGCCAAGAGATGAAGAAAAAATAGCGAAACTCGTTTGTACAATAGAAAACGGAACCACATTTTCTGTTGCCAAATTAGAGAAGATAAGCCTCACGTTTACACTATAGACTTTTGTTCCACCCTCAAACAGGGTGTTATTTTTCCCGTGACCGTGTGACCATTGGTCACAGGCAATCCCAGTTAAAACATTTTTCTCACAGGAAGTTTTCAACCAGGTATAAAGATTTGAACGGTTTAACACTTTGCAAGAATTTAGGCAGTTTGGAAGCAATCAAAATAAAAATGCTCGCAATAGATTACATTTATTACATTGAAAATAATCTATGTTTAGAATAGTAATAATGTGCTAGGGGAACTCAAGGGGATTCTTTACAAAAAGTAGCAAATTAGGTAATTGTTGCTTTGTCATTACGACCCCTACTGTTAGGAGTGTTTGAGATATTTGAGATGTTCATTATAAGCAGGGCCACTGAGAGGGGTGACAAGGGGGCAAATTGCCTCATGAAGTAATGAATTCCATTGTTGGAATGTAATTAATAAAACGTAGCAAAAGTAAAATGTTTAAAACGATTCTCTGCGGCCGTGATTATAAATATGGCAAAAAATTTCTGCGAAAATCTGAAATTTTAATTCTCATTTATGACTCCTTCATGTCTTCAACAACATAATTCTGTTGCATTATTGAGGTTTTTGAACCACAACTTCCAAATCTTTTTCACAGGAAATTTTCTTCAGAAAGTTTACGGTCACAAGTCTTTAAAAAAATTGCAGTCTGTCTCAAAGTCTTTGATTTTCCTCTTGTCTAAACAAAAGAGATTGGATTACCTTGATATAATTGCAACTAAAACAATAGCATCTGCAGATGCTCTGTAGAGTCTACTAATGTCTACAAACCCGGACAAAATTGTTGAGACAAAATGCAATTTCTGCAATTTTCTACTTTATGTCGCCTCAATAAATTCGAATCCCCCGTTTCCCCCCGAATCAATGTTGGATTTGCAGTTCTATCATTTCTCCTTCAAAATAATGCATTCAACATTGAATTGGGGGAGGGGGAAAAGTTATTTTTGAAAGGAAAGTAAAAATACAAGCTTTTCTTGAATAGTCTCAACCATGTTTGTCCGGGATGGTAGTTCTTTGAAAGACATGTCGCTTGGCTCTTTAACGGTAATTTAGGTATAGCTGATGTCATAAAATGCTGTATGTTGATAAGATTATGGGCATCTCATTGAGATCTGGTTTATTGTGTTCTGTATATCGTCATAGATATAGACCATAGAAAATATGTTCTTGATTCTAATCCATTCTTCAATCAAGTACCTCAAAATACATTGACAGCATTTCCTATATTAATTATGCTAATTATGTTAATTATGCTTGAACATTATATCTCCCCCTTACTTAAATTAAAACGTCTCTTCTGGAACAGTAACAAAACAATAGTTAAATGTTTACAAATATAGTTGATCATGTCTCACAAATGTTTTGTCCGTATCTTCTAGCATTTCTCCTTTCCCGGACAGGGTATCTAGGAATCAAAACTCCAGCTTGAACGTTTGGACGGTTTGGCATATCCATAATATCTTCATCGTCTATGTCAGAATCAATTTCAGTTTCTTTCTGAATAGGAAACCTTTTGAAATGAGAAATATTTCTTGTGATTGTATGATCTTTTCCTTCGTTATAAGCAGTTAGCATTGTTCCTTTCTTTTCAATTACGATGTAAGGATCTGGGTTGAAATTTGTAGATAATTTGTTCTGCTTAGGCTGTTTTACTAAGACAGTATCACCAATATCTATTCCTGATGCTTTGGCTCTTTGAGCTCTATCAGTGTTCTCTTTCATCTTCCCTTTTTCAATAAAATCACGATGGACAAGATGTTGATGTGTTTCTGATGTATTTTCAGTTGTAAACTGCGGCAATTTAGTGTTTATAGATCGGTTAAATAGCAATTGAGCGGGCGAAAATTGAGTTGTGCTGTGTGGGGTTGCACGATAATTGAGCAAAAAACGATTTAGTTCTTTCCTCCAATTTCTCTTATCAATAACAGCTGAGCGTATAGCTTTTGTTAAAGGTTTCATAAATGTTTCTGCTTGAGCATTGGCTTGAGGCCATAAAGGTGTGATTCTGCGATGTACTGGTCCAGTTTCTCTCATGAATTCTTGAATTTCGCTGCTTGAAAATGGTGGTCCATTATCGCTGATGAGAATTTCAGGAATACCGTGTTTTGCAAATATTCCTTCCAGTTTCGGAATGGTTGATTTGGCAGATGTAGAAGTAACGATTTCAACTTCAGGGAATCGGCTATATGCATCAATGACAACGAGCAAATATTCCCCTGTTGGTAAAGGTCCCAAAAAATCAATGTTGACTGTGTGCCATGGAGCGGGCGGTAATTTTGGGCTTGCGGCCTGTGCGGCTTTTGTTGCACGGCACGGTTTCTCGTCACAAAATTTGCTGTGTCCCTTGAGTGTAGAGGCTCTACTAATAGGAGATTTTGCTCCATATCGATGGCTTGTGCTTCACTAACTTCGAGTGCGCGTGCTTTTGTCAGCAAGGCATCGAGGGTGAGCGTGTCTTCTCTAAGCGCGTAACGGCGGAGACGCGTCGAGAGGCAGTGCTGAATAATCATGGACTTGATTTCTGTGTCCACATTCCTAAATTCGCAATTTGCAGCCAGCTTTCTCAGACGTGTCGCAAATTGATCAATTGTTTCACCACGGTTTTGCGTTGCTTTTCTGAATTGAAATATTTCAAAATCAATGTTTTTCTTAGGGAGAAAATATTCATCTAGTTTCTCCAAAGCTGTCTCATAGTCATCATCTTCACCATTGTTCGGAATTGTATCAAAAATGTCCTGTGTGTCTTGACCAACTTGGTAGAGTAGTAGGGCTCTTTGCTGCGCTGGACTTGTAACATCAATTGCAGCTAGGTATGTTTGAAATCTTCGTCTCCAAGATTTCCATCTCTGGCCTACTGAGCTAGGATCAGTGTACGCATCGAACGGTGGTAACGGAGGTAAATCGAGGTGAGCAGCCATAACTGTATAAGATAGTTAGACGTATTTGCTAATAGTAAAGTATCCTCGTCGCCATTATTGTGTTCTGTATATCGTCATAGATATAGACCATAGAAAATATGTTCTTGATTCTAATCCATTCTTCAATCAAGTACCTCAAAATACATTGACAGCATTTCCTATATTAATTATGCTAATTATGTTAATTATGCTTGAACATTATATGGTTCACTGTGTTTGCAGCAACCATGAGAGTGCTTTTGATGAATTATAATAATTTCTTGTTTAAGAACCTCATGGTCAAACTTTCAGATAACGCGATAGTAGCTTAACTGAGAACTAATAAAAGAGCCCATTATAATCTTGAAGATTTTTCCTTGTCTCGTGAAGTTTAGCCATTAGTCAGAAGCCCCATCCGATCCGAACCGGTCTCAACATTGTGCTAAACAACGCTCAACATTGTAGGGTAATGTTCGAGCATTGATTCAGCCTCAATTTAGTCTTTTAACGCCAATATGTTTTAACTTGGTATAAGGAATACAAAAAATGTTTATAATACAATG